GGGAGCTCGGGAACAACAGATGGCCCTAGTGACCACCAATGATCGGAAGATGAGCTGCGAGTGCGACAAGTATCGTGCCTGGTTCATGAATCAAATAAAACAATGCAGCAATCGACGTGGCAAGGCTAACAACAATAAGTCGAAGAACGTCAAGGCTGAGCAGAAGACAAAGCGGGACATCGAAGGCAAGCTTAGGGATAACCTGCTGTATGCTGTGGCAATCATTTTCGGTGTTTCTGGTCTTTGGTTCATCTTGAGGGCTGCAGTTAATAGACTGTTGAACAGCAATCGCGTTGGCTATGAAATTTAAGTTCGCAACGCGGCCATTTTCAATCGCACTTGACGACGAAAATAAACTACAAATAGATCTCTTTTTTTTCTTTATTAAAGAGACTTTCAGCCCTAGGCTGGTTCGTCATCACAAATACATCAAAGTTGTCTAGCCCCTTGCCTTATTCATAACGAATCGATTGTTCAGTTTCTCAATAATAAGCCTTCAAGAAAATGCAAAATTCAGCCATGTTGTATATTGTAAAAAAATTCAAAATGGCGCCTTTGAAATATTTCAATGAATTGTAGCACGAAAACAGCACTTCTGAACGGAATGACGTCCGATCAGACAATCGAGACAAGGTTGTAGAGAAAAATCATGTTTTCATGGAAAAATATTTAAACAAATGTTTTTATTACCTTAAAAAAAACGTAAAGACCTAAAATCTCAAAATGTCGTTGTCCGATCCTTGATTAAAATAAAAAATGCCCGTAAAAATGCAAACTGTTGAAATGTTTAAAGTTATGGACACTTGGAAATCGACAAAAATCGTAAAACATGAACGTCTCGCCAATTTTTTTTAATTTTTTAGTTAAACGTTTTTCCATGTAATTTATACTCAGAAAACAATGTTTGAGACAATTTAAATCATTTCCTGTGAAAAAATATATAGTAACAAAAAGTTTAAAATTCGACCAAAAATTTTTGTTCCACTATGTGTCCGTGGTTAACGGCGCCAGTGGTGTAGTGGTAAGCGTGACTGCTTCTGACCCCAAAGGGCCTGCGTTCAATCCCAGTCGGCGCTGCTGGGATTTTCTTAAGCAGGAAATCTCTGAAAACGGAAAGTAAAGCCGTTGTCGTTGGTTCCCGGTCCATGAGTTGATGGGTCGATAGGTAGGGTCCAGGTGTGGGAGCTTCCTCCCTGGCGTCAGTAGCATTGGTGCTCAGTACGGAAAAAACTGTGTCCGTAGCTTTGAACATTGCAAAAGTTTGCATTTTTCAAGTTTTTTTTTAATTTCAATAATGCATTTTCAAAACTTTTTTTTTAAATGGTTATTTAAAATAAATACAATATTTTTTTAGATTTTACTTTTTCCGAAAGAGATATATTTTCTCTTCATCTTTGTCTCAGACTTCATTTCGACCAGAAATGCCGTTTCCGTGATACATTTAAAAAAAATATAGATATGCCATTTTGAAAATTTTACAAGATACAAAATGGCGGAATTTTACCAGAAATATAAATCATAGCTTATAAAAAAGCATTTAAGTAATGTTTCATATAAATCATACAAACTGCCTGGAACTGCTCAAAGCTAAAGAAGAACAATAAGTTTAAATGAACAAAAGGTTGAAAAGGACAAAAGGTCAACTGCAAGTTGACGGACAAAAGCGACAATGCGAACAAATTCGAATAGACAAAAAGTTGAATGAACATAATGTAACAAATGACAACAGGTCGAAAATGACAAATAGACAGGGCTGGTAGCGATCACTGCTGTATAGTGATAGTGATTTTAGTGACCATGTTGAAGAAATAAGTGACCAAAAAGTGACTTATAGTTATAAAAATAGTGACTAAAAAGTGACCTAAAACCAAGAAATTTTCAAGAATCTGCATTCAAATTCCATTAAACAGTTTTAAAGACCCGAGGAATTTTATTATAATTTCTAAGGACCTCATTCCAAGGGACCTCTGGAAAAAAAAATCATTCAGAAAAACATCAAATGCAATCTGAGGAATGTTAGATTTCTTATGAAGCCTTAGTATTGAGTAGAATCACAAGAAATCTTAGGAATTTCTGAGGAGCACAACTCTTGTGAACTTCACCGGAGAATTCCAAGGGCATTCTGAGGATAATTTCATAAAGTTTGTGGGAGAAAACGAATCTGGAGCAGAAGTCCTTGGAATTTTTATGAAAATACTAAAAGGAGCATTACAATTAAATCTGAGAATAACTCCAGAACATGTTCAAAGGAATTCAGAAAATAAATTCAGAGCAGTTTGCCAAAGAAATTATGAGAAAAAATCTGAGGAATTTCTGATGAGAAATGCCAATGAATTGTTAGGAGACTTTCAATGTAAGTAGAATTCTAAGGGAAGGAGTGATATTCAAAAATAAATCTGGAATGCATTCAATGAATACTCGGAGAATCTTTCCAAAGAATTTCTAATTGTGGAGAATTTCTAAGTAATTCCGAATAAAACTAAAAGAAAATTTAATTCTGAAGATAGCTTCATCGAGATTTTGAGGAAATCTCCGTTAAATATGGAATGAACTATTTTGAGGTCTTCAGAATCACTTGAAAATTCTCAAATTTTTCCTGAAGTTAATGAAACTGCCTTGAAGTTCTTTTTTAGTTTGATAAACTAGCCTGATGCTCACAATACTTCTCCTCAAATTCTGAACTTTATATGACTCTCTAAAGTTTCCTCAATTTTTCTAACGATCATGGATCTTCATTAAAGGTTTAACAATTCACTGAAGTTCTGTAAAGTTGTTTAAAATTTATGTGACTTCTCTAATGTTGACGGAACTGCTCTGAGGTTCTCTGTTCTTTTCTGAAATTCCCAAAACTTCTCTAAAGTTTTTGCAGTTCTCATGAAGCTTGTTTGCCTGAAGCCTGAATTTAATTAAATCGTCCTAAAAATGCTTCAGTGCACTTCTGAACTTATGCAAAGACCTAAAAATTTTTTTTAACGTTTCTGAAGTTATCTGAAAATCTGGGAATTGCTTTAATTTTCAAGTTTGCGGATCTCATCTCATCAAGCTCCATAGATTTCTATGAAGTAATGTTTCTGAAGACCACTGTCCTTTTGTGAAGTTTCTTCTTAATTTCTAAATTTCTGGAATTTAATGGGATTATTCTGAAGCTATCTGATCGTCCTCGAAGTACTCGGAACTTCGCTGAATATCATTAAACTGTCTAAAAATATCTAAATTTAGTTCTCTGGAATTTCTTGAAGATATCGCTGCTTGCTAAAAGTTCTCTTCGTTGATGTTCTTTAATCAATTTACCTAAATTTTCACGTTTTCCGGATGTCCATGTAATTTTGATCACGTTCCAGATATTCTCTCGGAGCTTTGCAGAAGTTTCTGGAAATTCTCTGAGTTTCTCGAAACTTATTTAAGGTTTCTACAATTTGCTTGAAATTATTTGAACTGGCCTTTGATTATCTGATCTGTCTAGATGTTTTCGAAGGTCCCCTAAAGCTCTCAAGCTATTTACGATTATAGATTTCAAACTGCTCCAAAAGTCTAGACTATAGTTACGGGAACTGCTCTTAAGCTCTGAAACTCCCCAAAGATTTCTAGATTCACCTCCCCCTCAAGTTTTCTTAAATTTCTCAAATTCGTTTGATACCTGTGAAGTTCTCTGAAATTCTAGGAACTTCATAAAAGTTCCTGAAAAGTCCCCGGATGCTAAAAGAACCGCTTTGAGGTTCTTACAGCTTCCAGTAAGTTTCCCATATTTTTAGCGTGGTAACTTCCCTTACGTTCCTGCAGTTTGTTTAAAGGACTTCACTGAAATTCTCAGCATTTCCTTCTCCAAAGTTCCTACTATTGTTGTTAATGGGCCTACAACGATGATCTCTATTCTTTCATTAAGTTAATTACGAACTTGAAATAAATCATTTATTTTTTTACCTATTCTGGCACTTTGAATATTTTCAATATCTTGTACATGGAATAAGAAACTTCAAGACATTGAATATTTTTAGATATTGGACTTACTTACTTGGAAAATGAGTAGAATCCTGTATGTAGAGAGAGACGATTAAACGTCACAACGAAAAGAATAATCAATCGTGAAACAATTCACTCTAAAAAAATTTTTTTTTCTCTATTTAGGGTTTTTCTCTAAAAAAAAAAAAAAAAAAAAAAAAAAAAAAAAAAAAAAAAAAAAAAAAATTAATAAAAAAAAAAAAGTGACTTTAGTGACTTGGCCTTAAAAAAAGAGACTTTTTAGTGACTTACTTGAAAAAAGTGTCTCGCTACCGGCCCAAAAATTCAGATGCAATTTAAAGGGCCAAAAGTTAGAATATATAAGGGAAACAAAACTAAAAGTGGAGAAAACATCGAACGAAATTTAGAGTAACAAATGGTTGAACTGGACAGCTATGATTTTTCAAACATTTCAAGTTTGCCGTTACACATTTTACCGGAGGCATCATGTTCGAAGTGTAAACGAAAAATATTCAGACATTATTGGAAAGCAACGATTTTTGATATTTAACTTTTCAACACTTTTTTGGATTTTTACCACAAATTACTTATATTTTTTAACCGTGTATATTTTTACCTACTACTTTGTCTGAAACGTCATTTTGATTAGCAGTAAAATTTTCGATCTCTAATTTGTTGAAAAATATCGAATACACCAAAGTGGCCACATTTTATCAAAAATGTGAATGATTTACAGTTACATCAAAAACCAACATTAATTCTAGTACCTACACGATAGGATCACCCACAACTATAGGAGCATTTACCCTATGGCTAAATGTTGTCTGAATTCCTGCGACCCATCTAAGGACTGCCCACGAGAAACTCTGTTCTAACAGACTAATCGACTATTCGAAATGACCTTAATCGAGTCCTCCTGCGATGCAATTACTGGAACTTCAATGATTGCCAAACTTCGAAAACTAGCCATTGCAAACACGGTACATATAAGTAAGCTACCACCACCGAACCAAAATTAGTTATTCGGTGAAACCACCACCATGAAGAAAGCCGTTCTGCTATTGACAATCATCAACTTGCTTTCGATTCCGGCCGATGCTTTGATAGTTTGCCCCAAGTTCCATCAGAACAAGGATTTCATCGGCAGGCTCTGTGTTTCCATGACTTACTTCAAGTGGGTCACCGGCGAAGCCACACAATGCTCCTCACTGTCGGTAGCATGCTACAATACAACTGTATCGCCCTCGTTGCTCGATTGCTATGACTCCGCTAAGCATGTATGGCTTGAGATTGAAGCTGATGCAGAACAAGTCTTCGCCATCAACCACACTAGCGTTACCATCTGCCAATCTCCGGTTAAGGTGTTCCGTTGCAAAGTAACCGGTGACGGTTCCACGCTGAGCATGAGCTTCAACATTCCAATCGCAGCTTTGGATGATCCCATCGAAGAACAGATGGCCCTAGTGGTCAACAAGGATCGAACGGTGGACTGCGAATGCGACAAGTATCGAGCCTTGCTCAGGAATCCAGGGAAACAGTGCCTAGGCGTTGGCAAGAATCAGCCAGACAAGGAGACCCAGCAGAAGGAAAACAAGAACGCCATCGTTAGGGCTAGGGGTTACTTACTGTATGCAGTGGCAATTGTTCTCGGTATCTCTGGCATTTGGTGTATGTCGAGAGCTGCAGTTAAGAGGCAGTTGAACAGGGGTCGTGTTAGCTGTGAGATTTAAGTTCTTCATTGCTGTTATTGAAATCAGTCATTTATGGTCTCTTTTTTCGATCGTTATCTATAATTCTACGGCAATCTAATAAACGCTCACTGAAAGAAGACAAAATTCCCATAGTTTGATACGAAATTATCAATCAATCTGCTTGGAACAATGGTTAATAATTGCTCAAAAATCATTGCATTATTTTTGAATGACCCCTTCCAAGATTTCAACAATTTGTAAGATCCATCTTTTATATGAGCAGGAACACACAGATTCGCAAATCGTTTCGGATCGATGTTTTTAGAATTACTTGTTATTATACACAGTTGTTTGTTATTGTTCAACATGCCATTTTACATATATGGTTCCCTAGTTTTGTACACGACTAACATTTGAAAAGGGCTTATGCAAAAATGATACGCATCAATAGAGTAATATATATCTCGCAAACGATTTGTTTGATCGAGATGGTGCCTTGGAAGAAATTGCGGACAAGTATTGTGCCTTCAAAGAAAAAATATACCATGTAAAAAAATATTTAACTTTTTAGGAAAAAAAAATCAAAATTATTAAACAAAATTCAAATTACTCAAATTGCATATTATTCTAAAATTATTTTTATATATTTATATTGTAGTTTAGATAAAGTGCTACCTACTGACAATGTGTATTTGCTGGGCAATTCAGAAACAAAAAAGTTGTGAAAAAAGTAGTAGGGGAAATGAAATGTCGGCCTAAATGTCCGTAATTTGGGCCCATACACAAATTCAGCAATCGACCAAATTTTCAATAGCGACCAAAAATATCCATTAGTAACGTCCCAATGACAACCATAAGAAGTGTTAATATATCCGTAAAGCTGGCCAATTCGTGAAGCTGTTAAAATAAGGGGCTCTAGGATTAGTTTAGCAATTTGGCCACATTGATTCTTGTATTGCAAATACCAGTAGGATCCAAACCTAAAACTCCCCAGTTGTCTCGTCTAGTCTTAGGTTTCAGAAGCGTATTCACTTTCCGGAGGATTATATGATATGGCTTAGTGCGATCGCTTTTGCTTACTGAGTAGACCATCATGAGTTTAATTTCACGCCCCTCCACATCCTAGATCCGTTAATCGCTTTAATTGTTAATATGAATACATCGATCACAAGTGATGTGTTGTAACAGAAGGTGCTCGTTTGCCTAGTGGCAAACGTTTTTGCTTACTGAGCAAAAGACCGTGCGTTCAATCCAAAGCTTTTATCCAACATCTCAGTGATTTCTCGTGGAAGTGCAAAGGATTGCTCAGCTTCCATCAAAGCGAGCGTAACGTCAAAACATTCATGCCCATTCCTTTCTTGACTTGCATTCGGACGCGGCCGGCGCTGGTACTGCCTAGTTTGAGATAACCAGGTTCATAGTCATTGAGGATGAATGTTAGTCCCAAGCATCGTCTATTGGTTCTCTGTGTATTTACAGCTGATCTAGCAATAACGGAGTAACATCCGCGGGCGGCCAATCATGCTCATGCTCGTATTCATTGTCCGCAGGTCATCATGTTGAATCTGCGTCCGACAGCTTCGGCTCCAAATTGGCGAAGGACTTCGATTTTCAACTTCTACTCTATGAGTCCATTCCTTAGATATCCATATTGCATGGATTCAGATGCGTATCCACTGTTATTGGCCGCCAGCTTGATTAAAATCCAACATCTTAATTAAAGAGCTGCCATTTTTGATCCCGTAATGTCCCAGATTCCATAAATTATCACAGCTGTGGCCACAAACCAGTAAAATGGAGCCTAATTATAATATGAAGGATTTACGTTATAGAGGAAATGGGTTCAATGCGACTATGAATCTGAAGATTGGGCCCAACGATCAACTTACAATTTTTCTTAGAAGAATGCTATATAAATGACTATTTTTGAATGGGAACATACATAGATGACGTTGATTATTAGGAGGCGGGAGGGCCATGTATTAGATATAGCAAAATACGCTATGAAAGAGGTATGAGGATTTTCTAAAATTAGTCAAAATTGTGCTACGTCACTTATGGATGGTCCCTAATGAGCAGTTTGCAAACAATACTTAGCTTCGGATTTTATTCATGGGCTCAATATGTATTAGGGATACTTAGATCGACTTTAGGGAGCTTAGTCCGTCATCTAGACAATAACACAAAATTTCCTCAAAGAGGAAAGTTTGAGTATCAGTTTCTCACTTGGTCCCACTTCACAAAGAGGAAAAACTGAGAAAAGACAAAAACAGAGCTCCCGTAGCATCTGTTTGTGAGCGGAGTAAGATTTTGTTGCCCTTTGCATCCTCTGAAGAGCTCCTGGATGAAGACCTAATTGATCTAGCCCGATATTTGACCGAGGTAGAACACTTCTTCAGTTTTCAGCTCGAGTGACTTTAAGGGTCAATATTTTAGAAAGTGGTCTTTAGAAAACACATGACATGTGCATGTTTTTGCTGTGTATATTAAGGAATATTTAAACTAAGCATAAAACCGAATGCGATTGAGTCGAAGAGGTTACTAGGTTACCTGGAGAACTTCGAGATTTGTGCGTAATTGCTTTTGTAAACAAACACTCCATTTGACGATTAATCGCGAATTAAAGCTCAATCTAAAAAAAACTAACAACACATTCAGGTAGAAGAGTAGTTCCTCTATCATTTGGTATAGTTTGTTCACGAGATTGCTCTTTTATTCGCAAGAAATCACAAAAGTAATTACGCTCAAATCTAAAAGTACTCCGGAAATAGGTCATGACTTCGACAGTAACATTTTACCTGTATTGTAATTTTTATGCGTTTGAAATCATGAAGAATTGTCTATGATTCCTCTTCACAGATCTTTGCTCAAATTTCGCCTAAAATAAACATGAAATTCTCTCTGATATTCCCTTGACCTTTAATTCTCTGCAGCGCATTTCAAATTTATTTTCGAATTCACCCGAACATTCTCTTTTTTTTTTATTGTTGTCCAAAAAATTCTGATGAAGCTTCATTTCATGCATAAAACTCGCAAGAATTCTCCTTAGGATTCCCATGCAATTCACCATGTCTTGAAATTCTGCTCAGAATTATCTTGGAGTTCTCCTTGAATTCCCTTGAAAATCTTCTGACAATACCTTGAGGATTGTACCGTACAATCGATCCCCTTAGTATTATTCTCGGAATCCCCTTAGAATTTGCCACAGAATGATTCAGGAACTGTCCTCAGAACACAATATCCTCAAAGTTCTTGTCGGTATGTTCTGAACACCCTAATCAGAATTCTCTAAAAATTCTTGAAATGTATTTCAATATTAATTAGAATTGAACCTCGAGTCCTCCTCATAATGGTAGTGCACTTTTCCTCAAACCCCCCGAAAACTTCTACTCAGAGCTCTTCTTAAATTTCGCCTGGAGCTCTCATAATCATCATTGAATTATTTTCACAATTAATCGTTGGAGATTCTGACTTTTTCGAGATATAGCGCTGTTTGCTTAGAAGTCATCATTAAAGATCAGAATATGAGATAAGAGAAAATATTTTAATAATTACAATTCGCCTGTTTAAGTACAAAAAGGTATAAAAGATCAACTCTACCCTTTTATCTTAAAATATTTGTTTACTGTACTGTAAAATCATCATATCCTTTGCACTTTACTGATGTCTTACTGCCAAGAGAGTAAGCTGTTTTGCATCGCACACAAATCTCTCACGAGTTTAATCTCTCATCTTTCCATGTATTTTGATAAAACACATGATGTGTGCCTTCCCTTTCACAGACTTCAAAGCAGAGTAACTGTCGCTGAAAAAAATTTCCGGTCTTTGCAGAATTCCCAACACAAAGATCGCTTGCTTGCCCCAACCAGAATTTCACGCCTTTTTTCGGATTGAAGCGGTGAAAATGCTAAAAAGGAATGTTAATCTAAAAGCAGAAGAATCCAGCAAGAAATGTTAATCTAACATGAGTCTAGCTAATTTAACATTTGGTCTTACTTACGTCGAATGTTAGACGTTTGTTAGACAGATGTCACACATGTTGTTAGACGTTACCGTTGCTGGTTCGGCCCGTTAGATTAGCTTTATGGTGGAATTTTATGCTTGTTTGTTTACACTCTGCTATCCGAGTGTGAAGTTGAACACTTGACGCTCGGATTCAGATAGCAAAGCGTAAACAAACAAGCATACAACTCTCTTCGACTGCGTGTTTGTTTTCTTCATATCATTTTGATATACCAGACGATTTTGACGGAGTTTGATGACGCGTACCCGGTGGAGAACGTTCCAAACGATTTCAGTAGAGATGCCAATAAAGGTTCCAGAAATTTCGACGAAGGTGGTTCCCAATTTGATCTCAGACTTTGCTCGGGTAGTTAGCAAGCAACATCTAAAATCACCACCGAAATCATCTGGAACCTCCTCCGTCGGGAACGTCAGCAAACTCTGTTTAAATCGCCTGGAATCTGCTTCGTCGGAATCATCTGGAACCTTTATAAGCACCATCTGAAATCTCCATCGAAATCGTCTGGAACCTACATCGTCAAGAACTGCAAAAAACTCCGTCGAAATTTTCTGGAATCGTAACTGTAAAAAACTTCGTCGAAATCGTCTGGAATCCCTACCGAACCGAGATAGAGTAGTATAGCTGGCCTTCATTGCCAACATCTGAAATCTCCACCGAAATTGTCTGGAACATGTTCCGAGTAGAACGCCAGCAAATCGACCAAACAACTGGCAAGTGAATGATAGCTGCGAACAAAGCCGGTTTGACCAAAATTCCAACAGAATCATGCAGCCCGAGCATAAACTTCTTTGTTGGTAACATGCTCTAACGCTAACATTTTATTTTCAGGGTAGAGATACAAAACATGTGTCAGGTACCCTATTTTGAAGTCTGTGAAAGGGATTTCTAG